ACAATTATTACATTATATAGTGTAAATAGTGCTTTATCATTAAATAACGCCTTAACTTTATACAGAACTGCAATAGATTTTGCCATTTTTGTTCTTAAGTACCGGTAATTTATAAGAGGTCTCCATGTAWGTTTTTCGTCAATGATGACTCCCAAAAACTTCACCTTATTGACTCTTCAGATCTCAACACCTTCTACTTTAAATTGAACATCAATTGTTTTCTTTCTATTATTAAATATCATGTAATTTGTTTCATCCAAATTTAATGATAATTTATTATGTTTAAACCAATTCTGCACTTTTACAAATTCCATTTCCATCATTTCCAGCATCTGTTCTATGTTTTTACCCAAGCCAAAAAAAAGTGGTGTTGTCTGCAAATAAAACACATTTAAACAACCCTGATACATCTACCAAGTCATTAACATATATATTTAGCATTGTATGTGAATAAAACTGAATCCAGAAGGAGAAGCTTGCCTTTTTGATCTGATCGGATGTGATGGGTTTGCCATCGCTGGTGATTGCGCCCTCGGCTACGATAAGAACATTCAGGCGACAACCTCTGGCTCTTTGCTGAAAAAAATGGTTTCAAAATGTAATCAGCACAAAAGATGTGAGCGCATGCGTTCATCAATTCTGATTGGAAGGTTTGCGGAGAACGAGTGCATGCAACCATCTGCAAGTGAAATAAACTCACATCTGTCAGCCTCCTGCACAAGTGATCTTCCCAGCCTTCATCTGGGGGCATCTCGGGAATGAAAACCCAGTCAGCACCACAGGCCAGGGCTGTCACCAGGGCCAGGTACCTGCAGCAAGACCAACAAAAACACCCAAATGAACGAGCAGCACCTGAACACCTACGCCACAAAGGCACAAGTGAGCATTTAGTGCTGATTCACTTGTTTATGTTCGTTGCTCATGCAACTGTCTGCGTGTGTATTAGTTTGCCTGTTARCAAAATATCTCACAAACACAAAATTGAACAAAGCCCTCAAAAAGTAATCATTGGATTGTACWTCTTCAAACACTTAACTTTTGGACTCAACACAGTTCAAAATCTTAAATAAAAAATGCCAATAATTCAGTCAATTATACAGATATTGAGCTTAAATCTGGTGTGGTGGTAGCTGAGAGTCATCCTCAACACACAGCCTAATCTGTGCACAAACAGATCATGACAAATCTTTGTTTTAATGTTTTGAATGAAATGCAGCAAGTTATCAAGATTCCTCTAAGTATTCTAGTTGTAGTTTATGCTTTGTGCAACACTTTGATCATACAGGTCATTTAAGTGTTAAATTAAAAGACAAGCACAACCTACTGACCCACAGTGCCGGCCCATCACCTCCAGTATGAAAGTCCTCTGGTGGCTGCAAGTGAATACAAAATACAAAACCTCATCACACCCAGACATTATTTCTGACCCATCACAGCAAACTGTTAAGATAAATATATAGTGTTTGTCTTTTCACTATGTCCAAGGTAAACACAAATAAGAGTGCTTTACTGCCCCAAAGAYGTCCTGTTTATAATAAACACGTCTGCTTTCCATTTTCTCTCCTTACAGATGCGTGAACCATTATCACAATGGTTTGACTTAAAAGAATAAAACAGATGTTTCTGATCTCGTCACGTGTATGGGAAGAAGAGTTGTACGAGGCTGTCTGACCTCTGTGCAGTTGTAGTTATGGCGTCCAGCACCTCAATGATGCGGTGCAGGGCRGAGTCTGTGCCTATGGTCATGTCGGTGCCACAGAAATCGTTGTCGATGGAGCCGACCATGCCAACAATGTTCAGATGGGATGATTTCTTGGCTTCTTCTTGTGTGATCTTACCTGTATTAAAAAAAGGTTACATGCTTTATCAGTGAAGGGACATCCTTTCTACATAAAAGGAGACTGAAAGATTTGACAGATTGGTAGTTTTTTTTTTTTTTACCCGTTCGAACCAGGTCAACCAACAGGCCGCTCCACTCGGTCCTAAACTCGTTGGCTCCGGTCAGACTGCCGTCACCTCCAATCACACACAGGTTGGTGATCCCRAGCTTCACCAGGTTACAGGCTGCTTTCGTACGACCCTCCCTACTCCTGAAGTCTTTGCAGCGAGCGCTGCCAATGACAGTGCCRCCCTGTAACATACAGAGAAGAGAACCTGTTACTGGACACATTGACATTTGTCTAGCTTTGAAATTAAAATAAAAAATAGGTGCAGATTTAAACCAGAAATGTGTGCAGCAACTCATTACGAAATCACAGATTCATGAAAAATGATGTCACGTCTTCCAYGGGCAAAGGCAACACATCATGTCCACTCATCGGCCCTTTCGTTTCAGGGTACTTTATTTAGACACCAGAGATGAGAGGAATGTTAATCGCGAGCTTCACCATCCTTCAGTTGTTTGGCTGAGTCAGCTGGCAGCACTCAAAATCAGAGTATCGTGTAATAAGAACCTTTTATCCCTGGAGAAATCTCAAAGCTTCCAGAGGAGAAGTTCAGTTTAAAGGTCAATTAGGTCATGAAAAAAAAACCCAACAACATTTCCTGACAAGAACAAAAACCTGTTTTTTCATGTCAGATCCAGGTGTTTTACAAACACACTGTTCATTGACTCCATGAGCGTGAACTTACAAATTACACTGATTAAAGAATAGATGTCGGACGTGTTGGTTGGTGCTTCTTTTACAATTAACTACCAATAATTAAGATGAGAAGATGGTCAAACCTTTTACACAGCAYGCATGGAGAGATGGAGAAATTTATAAAGGACTCAATGACTACAATGTGCAACGGTACTTTTGGCTAAAAAAACAAAACAAAACAAAAAAACCCAGGACCAACTCATCAGCCCTCCACCACCGTGCTTGAGGGTTTTTGCTTTTTACTTTACAAAACACATCAAGGCGCACTGGGACCAGCACGTCTTCACAACAATGCTTCAAGGGAGGGGTGCTCTGTTGGGTGGGAGCTTGGCTGCAGGCAGGTGCTTTGTACCAGCAAGCCTATAGGCAGCTCTGAATGGCTATCACATGAGGTTCAAGGATTTCTAAAACGTGCATGAATGAGTCTGGGTATGTTTTTGATGAGGGAATGACATTAGAACATGATATAAACCTCTAAAACAGGGGTCCCCAAACTTTTTCCTGTATGGGCCACATAACTTTTCCCTTCTCTGGTGGGGGGCCGGAGTCAGTTTGTAACAAAAAAAGTGTGACTTTTGCAGGAGTGCCTAAATGTAAAAATTTATTGTTTTCCAGAAAGCACAATCAAATAACCCTCTCTGGTTTCTTCACAGTATGTATTCTGCTGAGCTAATAGTCCACTTTTTAGCTTTGAGAGTTTGTTTGCTCGCATTTGGCCTTGCAAGCTATCATACTTGWCTTTGTGAYGGGATTCATAGTGTCGCCGCAGATTGTATTCTTTGAATACCGCTACCGCCTCTTGACAGATGAACAAAAAATAATAATAATAATCGTTTGTCCACTGCAGCTTAAATGCCCTGCATTCTGAATCAATTTATCTTTTACCTAATCTTTTCGCCATTTTTCCGTTCTCTCTTTGAGAGGGGCGGGTTTAGGATTTTTTTGGGGGGGTTGCCAGATAGGGGCACAGACCGCAGAAGGGTGGAACAGAATGTCACATTATATGCGTGTATGTATGAAATAGTTACTAACTAAAAATAGTTAATAATGAAAATAGTTCATAACTAAGGAACATTTTATTGCAAAAGTCCAACTTTATAATCAAATATAAATACACATATATGAAAAAAAAAACTAAATGCTCTCTGGTATTGTTCTGGGGGCCGGACCAAATGGGGAGGCAGGCCGGATTCGGCCCGCGGGCCGTAGTTTGGGGACCACTGCTCTAAAAAGTCAATTTTGCATTATACAGCCCTCACCTTAATATTACATTAATACAGCTAAAATGTGAAGGCAGCAGTAATGTTTTCACCTGAGTTTGCATGTGTCTGTTACCAACACATCCTGTAAATTTTAATAAAATTTTATGAAAATAATCATTAGATGGACACCTGCAACTGATTAACATCTGGAATCAATCCAATTGACCACCATAGCTAAACAAGATTAGCAAACACTAAAATCAAAAAGAAAAAATAAGTAGGTCTTCTGGATGGGTTCTTGTTTAGTGAAACGTTTCGTCTCTTCTCCAAGAGACTTCTTCAGWCTGATGAGTTTCAGGTGAACTCAGCCTTATAAGCACTGCCTCCACCTGGACAAACAGGTTAGTCACATGCAAAAGAGGGCCATCGCCTAACAATAGGCTTGATTGGCTCTATTGTTCATAGAGGGTCATGTGCCTCATCACCTGACTGATTGGTTTGGATGCTGTGGTTCTTAGGTGTTGTCATGTGTATGTAGTGAATGCAGGCGGGGCTCAACATCCCCTTGTTTTTGTCTCCCCCCCCCCCCTCTTTGTGTTGGTTATCGTTGGGGCYCTGCTTCACACCTTTTGCTCACAGTCATACTTGCAATAACAGCGTTGTAGGGGGAGGACAACTGGACACGRAGGCCTCCACCTCTGTTTAATGGAGGAATGGTCGAAACGTTTCACTAAAGAAGAACCCATCCAGTGGACCTACTTATTTTTTCTTTCTGATTTTTTCTACCTGGATTACTGAGATGCATCAGGACAAACACTAAAATGGTTTTTACTCAATCAATTTTACACACATTGAACTAAAATGTTGTTGCAGGGTTAACACATACTCTGAGCATTACATCTCACCAAAACGAATATAACTCATCAGATTTTATTATAAGATGATCTTGGTCTAAAACTCGATTGTGTACAGATTTACTTTAGGTTTAATTTGAAGCAGAATGAATAAACAAAAACCTCCTTTGGTGGTCATCTTTAAATTGAGCAGACCAGCTCTTTAAAGCAAAGGGCGTTTCATTTAGTTCTTGTTTTATTTTCACAAAGTGTTTTGCAAGTCTGAATGTGTTGAACTCACCAGCTGCAGCATCATTGACACACTCTCCCAGGTGGCGGGACGTATGTTGTCCCCTCCATCCACCAGGCCCTGGTAGCCCTACAGCACAGAAACATTTAAGCTCTACTGATGAATCGTGTTGATGTAAACATGGTGAACTGGAGCACAGTCATCTGTACCTCGTGAACAAAGTAGACTTTGGCTCCGGTGTAGAGACCAACTCTGACYGTAGCCCTCACAGCGGCGTTCATACCTGGGAGTCAAACACCTTCATATGAGATGTCATTCACTCACAATACAACTGTGAGTTCATCACTCCTATCAAATATACAATCCCCGACCCTTCTTGACCTTCAAGTAGCACGGGCACAAGATCAGACAGAAATAGCCCCATGGAAATAAAGAACAGGAGCAGGGTTTTAGAGGGGGCTCTGAAGCCACTGTGGGAGTTTGTGTTGTGACCAGCGGCCTTTTGGCAGCTCTCGTTTCACCAGACAGCAGCTGTGGTTGGATGGGTGTTTCTCTCCCCCATACCAGAAAAAGGTCAGCACCACTAAAATTAGCCCCAAAGAAGGGGGAAAATGGGGGAGGTGGGGTTGGTGGACACACGACAGCCACAAGACACAGACCAACACAAAGGTTTGGACGAGAATAGAACAGATGATGCTTCATGTTCCGCTCCGAGCACAGTAGGGCTGCCACAAATGATTATTTTTATAGTCAACCAATCACTGATTATTATTTTGATTAGTTGACTAATCGGATCATACGTTAATTGAATATAAAACATAYGGCTTATTGTGCCGGAATGCAGCTGCTATTATACAACCATTGTCAGATTTTAGCTATATGCTAACTAAAAATAATTGCCGTGGAAGGCAAGTTCTGCCTTGCAGATATTGCAATGCACAGGTTTCTCTTTTATTTTCTTAAACTGAAGGACAGAAAGGCAGATGTGGCAGTGGAAGGTGTCAAAGCAGTTTAGAGAGAAAAACAAAGTAAAAAAAAACGACTAATCGACTATTAAATTAGTCATCAACTATTTTAATAGTCCATTAGTTGTCGACTAATCATGGCAGCCCTATAGAGCAGAGTGTGTAGGAATAATTTTATATTTGTGTGAAACATTTTAATCATTTTGAACAGTGTTAAGCTAAACTTATAAAAATGCACAACTGTATCTTTTATTCCAGACAATTTTTTGACTCTTAAACACTGGAAAAGTGTCTTGATTTTAACATGTTCAAACTGAAAATTTCAGACTTTGCTTGTATTAAACTCTTCCAGCAGTTTGGGGTTCAGTGCTGAAGAACTGCACAGAGAAGGAACTTTATCCTCCACTGGGACTCATTTGAAAACCTCTGCTTACCTTGAGCGTCTCCTCCTGATGTCAGCACGGCGATGGACCGGCCGAGGCCCATTTTCGTGGGGTCCATGGTCGGATGGAGATCCTTGGACATGTCTAAAGGAGGCCGGTGTCCTAGATATGAGGGGAGGAGAAAGAATGGTGCTCTTCCTTCGCTCTCTGCTTCTCAGGAGTGTCACGAGGGAAGGCACAGGCTTTATGCACCAACCGTGTCTATTCCTGACATCTCCAACACTCACGGCTAAACTAAATATAACAGTATACCAGTGGACAGTTAAGACAGAGACACAAAGCACTTCAATAATGCATCTGGAAGCTGTGCATGTGGGACAGAGAAGCCATGATCTTAGTTTACATATTGAAATTGTRGATAARTGATTGGAGAAGGATTAAYTSAAACACAATCGAGCTGTCTCTAAATAACTTTCTGAAATTAAATAAAACTCTAGAAAAMAAGCAATGTACTTTGTGTACTTTATATTTATCACCTGCACTTTGTATAGTACTATTCAAAAACTGCTTTAGCATCATGTTACATGCAATCTGCCTTTTGTTGGGTTGTGATGTATAAGATCAGGAAGACAGAGAGAAAAAAAAATATTAAAAAGGAGTTTATAAACCTGCACTGAAATCTTTAAATAGTGAACCATTAATAAATTTAAAAATCCCTCACTTCAGAAGATGTCAGAAATCCTGACAATGGCACCTTATTAAGTCCCAAGGACTCCAAAGAGCTTCACACTAGTTACTCACCCACTCATGGTGGTAAGCTACAAGCCCGTTTTCCTTTCAGCTCCTCTTTTCTGCAGGGGTCACCACGACGTGTGAACTCATTGAAGATTTGGCAATTGTTTTATGTTCAATGTCCTTCCTGACATGACCTGAGCTCAGACCTGGAGCCTCAGGATTACAAGATTGAGGCACTGACCAACAAGCTACTAACCCCCGCCCTCTGAAAGACCCTACAAATGGTAGACAAAGTCTGAACTTGTGTAGCACCATCAAGTTCACACCTACTCCAATGATCTTTACACTGCAGTTATTCACACACACACACACACACACACACACACTGATGGTGGTAAGCTACATTGTAGCCACAGCTGCCCTAGTGCACACCGACAGGGGTGGGGCTGCCATGCACCGGAGCCACTGGGCCTTCTGACCACCACCAGTAGGTAAGGTGGGTGAAGCGTCTTGCCCAAGGACTCAACTAAGAGATAGAGTCGAAGATTAAACCAGCAACCAACCAGTTACAGGACAACTCCCCTAACCACTGCCTTTAAAAAGTATTTTGTATTTTCCTCTCCTTTACACCTTAAGAGATTTACAAACCTTTTGAAAACGGTTTTAAAAGTGATGAGTAGAAACCTGACCCATTTGGAAGAACCAATGACAACGGGTTCTGCCATCCTTCAAATGTCAGTAATTAAGTTAAAAATCCCAGCTGGAGTGAAGTCTTTCTCAGAAAGGACTCAGGTTTCAGATTCCTGTTGCACTTCCCAATTTAAGTTGATCAATCTCAGTTCATTTCTGGGCTCAAATGTCAGGTCCCATTATGTGTCAAGTATTGTAATAAAAACCATGCAGGAGGGAAATAAAAAATAAATAAAAAAATCACATTTAGAAGCTATTTTTAAAAACACAGGTAGCGTAAGAAATCACACATAATCCGTTAGYATCATTTTAAACAGACGATTAAAAAAGTAAAGATTTTATTTTAATAAATTTAAAAACCTACAAGAGTAACTAAACAAAAAACACAATAATGTCAAACAGCACACAGTGTAGTGGTGCATTTCATCTCATGTGTTGTTGGGAGTTGTGCAAAGATGGACAGTCAAAGGCTATTGGGATAAATCTCTGGAAGAGAGAGAGAGAGAGAGAGAGAGAGAAAAAAAGTTTAATTTGGCATGCTTTTATTGTGAAATAAATGCATAAATTTAACTGAAAACTTGTCCATGCCTGGATACACAGAGCATCTTGATTCAGTAAAACTATGGCTAGTTTATTTTGTTTTAACAGTCAGTTTATTTCTTGCATTATAAAACTAAACTTAATGAATGTGAGACTAAATAACCCCCCCGTTAGGTGACACATCTGTCCTGGCCACATTCAAAGTGACAAAAATTGGAGCCAAACTTTCAAGTGCCTGTGACATCAAATTTTTGTAATAACATGAATGCATTTTTGGAAAGATAACATTGATAACATATTGAAAAACAAATTTCACATCGCTCAGATGAACGGTTGTTGAGATAATGGCATGTGAAGAAACAGGAAGTGATGTCAAAGGGGGAAAGTCAGCATGTAAACAACACGTTGTTACATAAGCCAACAACACTGACTGTAGAGAAGAATCTGTTTCTTTAGATAATTTTTAGTCGCTATCAAAAAAAGGACAAACAGTTAAAGTTTAAATGATTTTGTTAATAAACAGAGACCAGAGAGTTTATTTCATTAATGAGTTTCCCTTTGATGTCACTTCCTGTTTCACTCTGGCTGAGTCAAATTCAAAAGAAAAATAGGCCAGTTATGTGACAAAATGGGTAAAATCGTGTKCACTATACCAATTTTCTGAAGTGCAAAGATGCTTTCTTTGACTTTTTGTATTTGAAGGATAGACATGTCACATGCACTTTAATCCCTGGCATTTTATGGGTCAGCTGAAATATGTAGTTTACAAAAACAGGAAATCATAACTAGAAAAAAATTTATAATAATGAGAATCAAAAAAAATGTTTATAGTTTCTTTTCTCTAAAATAAGTTTGTGAAAAAGTCATGATTCTTAGCTACCACACCAAATTTGAGCTCAAAACCTTCATGAATTACTGACTTGTAGCAATTTTTGTGTTTGCTGTGGCGACTATAAACAGGCAATCACACAACTGTAAGCCCATCATGACAGCAGGTGACAAGACTGGACTGATGGTCAGGTGTGTACTCACAGTGAACTCTTCAAAATCCAAAATGGAGGCGAGCGGGTTTTCACAACGAGGCCGAGGCGGGAGGAACCTGGGAGCGGCGTCGACAGACTTTGAGGTGTAGGTCGACACCTCATCGTCCAGACGCAGCTCCTCCGGGGGAGGAAAACGCTTGCGCAGCATCACCACAGCAGAACTCAGAGAACTAGTTTTCTGGTTCGTGAGGTCTGTAACAGAAGCAGCAGCTTAGAAACGATACACCAATGACTATGAGCCGAACCAGCGGTTAACGGTACCTCTGTGCAGACGCAGAACAGATGGGGGGCGGTGATGAGCTGGGTCAGCTGGAGCTTCGGACAAGTTTCTTTTGTCAGACGAAACTTGATCAAGCGGAGCTGAGACTTTGAGATCAGAACTTGGGACTCTGAGCAGCTTTTTACTTGAAAACATGATGACAGATTGTCTTGGCTGTGCAGGTAAGGTCTTTGGCTCATCCACAATGTCGTCAGTTTCGTTTCTGCATATTTCTGGTGGTTTTGAACAAGTTGTCTTCTAAAGAAGTGAAAAAAGAAAAAAAAAAGTACCCCCAGTTAATGTTAAAAATCAGATAATTGATATGAAATCAATGTCCTGCTTTAATTGCACTTCATACAGCAGTGGYTTGCTCTGAGAACTGCTCTGGTTGAGTCTCAGGATCTTTGCTTGGCACAGTGGCGCCCTCATCGTCTGCATCAAATAATTTCTGAAGGTTGAGTTTAAAGTTCCTGCTTCCAGCTGTGACGTACGGCGTCTGGTAGGATTTCTGAAAACAGAAAGGAGGATGACATTAGGTAGTGGCTACATAAACACAAACCAAACGACACAGTGTGTACAGACCATAGACATGGGCAGATGTTTGGTGTTGCGAACTCTTTGAGGGGTCTTTGTCGTCACTGTGGTCTCTTTGACTGCTGCTATGCAGGACAGAGAAGCCAAAACAGGGTTTAAAAAATAAAATAAAAAATAAAAAGTCAAAGATAACGATCCATCTTACCCACTGGACCACCATTAGTCTCCGCTTTCTTTTTCCTTAGAGGCACTCTTTGAGCCTAACAGACATGTTATAAAACCCATCAGGAATGTACACAACAGGAATGAAGAAAAGCAGAAGTGTCCACTTTAATGTTCTCATACGCTGTAAATTGAAGTTCCTCTGTTGGACGGACAGAACGAGTCCCTGGACATGGCACCCAGAGGTCCTCCCACCTTCACGCCTTCGTTCTGAAGAATACTTTGCAGAGCGTCGGAGTCTGGTGTAAACTGGACGCATCTCACTGCTCCTGAAGAGAGCGCATTCAGCGGACATGAAATGTTCGTGATGGTGTTATGTACATAAAAAAAACATTTAAAACAGCACTGATTGCTATACAGTGTGCAAAAACACTACTATGCAATGAGTGAAAAGTCTGAAAGTCATTTCAAATCATAAAGATTACTGAATTCTTCCAATGAATTAAAAATTATAGTGTTCTGTACTGTAATGCCGACCTGCCAGGGGTCCAGCTTTTCTCTGACTCTTCTTGACGGACACTCGCTGAGGCTGGGGACAAGAAATTAAGAAAAAAAAAATGCTTGCAAATATTTTTTTGATTGTACACACAAATTATCCAAAACTCCAAATTACACTAGAATTAAAAAGTAAAAATAAAAATTTAAAAGTAAAACCTGGAAATAAGGTCTAATTAGTAAAAAGCCACTTACCAGGTCATTGTAAGGTTTGGATTTTGGAGTTAAGACTCCAACACTAAGCAAAGCAGTTTGGTCTTCCTGTTCATTCTTTTTGCCTAAAAATGCACAATTAAACAAAAATTCGAATGAAGAAACAAGTAAAAAACTAAAGAAATCCAAAATTAGCAAAAAACAAAAAAGGCAAAGTGATAATTATGACAAAAGCATCAATATTGGATTCTGCTCAGACATGAGAAACTAGAAGGGTTTTTAATTATCAAATACATTTTGAATGTATGGGCTGATTAATTCTTACCATTTAAAGCTTTTACAGAAGTGTTCTTCATCATCAGTAACTCAGCATTTAATGACTTGGAGGGCTCTTTGAGACTGAGAAAGTTCATGTTGTCCAAAACAACTTCAGCACCAGAACCAGGCTGCGCAGAACTACCTTCATTCTGCACCGTTTTACCAGGAACTGATGACAGGTGGCTTTTTGATACGTTTGAAACTTGAGATTTTGATTGAGAAGCAGTTAAAGATTTGTGAACCTCAACTGCCTTGTGTGTTTTCCTATGGTTAGACAGGCTGAACGGTACAGGCCTGGTCAAATGCCTTTTCTCCTTAACTTTACTCTGCAAGAAAATACATACAAAAAAAAAAAAAAAAAAAAAAAAAAAAAAAAAAAAAAAAGAATAAAATCATTAAATAAATTTTAAAAAGTTGTACAGAATAGGATAAAAAGGTACTTACAGGTAAAGGTTTCTCCTCCCACTTCTTGTAGGACTGTTTAAAACCAGAAGAAGTCTGCAGACAAAGGGTCTTTGCGAGGACTGGAATCTTGCTTATACCTTGTTGGATAGGTGGGTTTGGAGCACATTTGGCTGGAGCTTTATTTTCACAATTCTGGCTTAAAAGGTGGCTTGAAGGGATGTGTTTAGAAAGCTTTAAGTCTGCAGGATTTTTGTTTTGCTCATTATCCATTCTGTGTAAAWACAATCAGATGCAAAATAAAACAGAAAGTCATTTTTCCTACTACAGTTTCCAGGCTAGTMCTTGAAGTAAAACGACTACCTGGACTGCATAAAATTCTCTCTTCAGACATGTTAAAAATATCAGGGTAGAGTTATTTACCCAGACAAGATTATTAAAAAAGGCAATAGTGATTCAAATAGCATAAAATGACTCACCTCTGAAGGTTACTGCGAATTTTGTTTTGAGTTTGCCCACGAAGGACTGGCAAAGAATCCATGTTGATGACTAGAGAGGAAGGGGAAGAGTTTTAGGGCAGGTTTATACGATTTTCAGCAGCAATGGCACAAAAGATGAGATCTCGTCTTAACACAAAAAATGCACAGGATTAACTACGTATAAAGATTGATAAAATAAACTACAAAACACGAGTTGTTAAATTGCACAGGCCAAAAACGATAAGCAGAAAGATTACTTGGACCAGAAAGATGCATAATATTGCTGGACACGCTACACAACCGAAAACAAGCTAACATTACCTGTTCTACAAACTTTAATAATACAAAAAGCCTAACTACTACCTKCTGAAAAGACTATTAAAGACAGCCAATGCCTAAATTTTGTTTATTAAGGCTCACCGGGCGTTTTGTGCAGAATTAAAGAGACTTCGGTTTGTTCGTTCTTACCGTGAAACGGGCCTGAACTTCCTGGACTCTCAACAGTTTGTAAAAAGCTCGCTAGACGATTGGTTATTAAATATCCAGTACAGCCAATGGGCGTGCATGAATGCATGCGAACAGCCAATCAGAGATGGACTTTCCCACAAACAACTCCATGGTAACGCCTGGTTGTTTTACCACGTGACCTTTTTTTGGCGATAGATAGATAGATAGATAGATAGATAGATAGATAGATAGATAGATAGATAGATAGATAGATAGATAGATAGATAGATAGAATGCCTAAACATCCTAAACATTACTAATTTTGTAACAATATTTGCATGTCATCTATGTAGTTTCCTCAATAAAAAAAGATAAATAAATATTAAAGAGTAACTAAACCCCTAGTCTTTTCCCAATGTGACACCTGCTGTGGGCTGCCTAAAGGTAAGTAGCAACTTTCGTAGTTGTAWATGAGGTATTGGTTAAAGAACCTTTTTTCAGGATAACTTTGTCTAAATTTTATAAAATGTGTAACTTTAAATGTAAACGTCCCTTTTGTTTTGGACACATAAGCTTCAAGTTACAATTTTTTAAAAACTTTATTTTATCTATCAATTATTTAATTTTTGTAGAAAAAATTTAAACTTATTTGTTCTTTACTAACAATAATTAGAAAATAACAGATATAAACTGTGTCGTGGCACACTGACTCCAGAAAAATAAGCTAATTCAGGCTAGAAAGCTAGCTAAGTAGCTCAAAAAATGACAAACACAAAAGGCCAAAAATAACATGTAAATTAGCTAGTTGTTGCCTCCAACCACTAAACGTAACATCCTATAAACTATATTTTACATTTTGGTACAGTTTGTTCAGAAGCTGACCCTKCATTTAGATACCCTCTAATCATGCTACCTTACTCTAAATGTTGATTTCAGGTAAATAAATGCAGCCAAAATACTGACATGAAAACAAGTTTAGTTCAAAATAATAAAGTTTAAAATGTATTTGAAATTCTTTAAAACCTCATATTAATACATAGATTAAAAGCCTAAGAATTTCTTGAAGAACTGTGTATCATGTTTTTTTCTAATCCATTTTGCCGAAAGTTTTTTTTCTGACCTCATTTAGCAGCACAATTTAAACATAATGTGTTGAATGTTGCTTCCTTTTTTGTCTTGCAGTCATTTTCTGTTTTGTTTCAGGTAGAATGCATATATTTAAGCTGTATTTCCTCTTCTTTATTGTAATGTCCATATTTCTGTGAAAGCTGAGCAGTTTATGATTTTGTGGTTTGCCCCAGATTTGTCCTGTTGGACAAAGGTAGCTGCCTTACAGAAATGATGACAAGTTATATAATCTGCATTTTTCCCAGTTTGACTGGGATCTAAAATAGTTTCTATTGTGACAGTCTTCCTTGATTCTCRTTCCAGCCACTGAATATAAATAAAATTTTAGAAAAGACCAGTTAAAAAGGGGACATATTTATAATCATGAAGAACAAGAAGAACATCTCCACCATACGGCAGAGTTTTTGTAATATAATTAGGAGTTTTTGCATCTGATGAAAACAAAGTACCAAATATATGTATTTAGTGCAACATCTTATAGCAGTGTTTCCCAAAGTTGGGGTCGGGACCCAAAGTGGGGTC